GCCATAAAACTACGATCTTCCCTGCACAACAATCGGAACATCCCGGCAAGTGCATTTTATAACTCGTTATTGACAGTTGGTATTGAAGCGATAGCGGCGCTATCTATATTTTACGACCCTTAATATAACTGCTACTGGTTATAAAACTTAAGTATGAATGATTTAATAAAAGTTTCTTTTGTACTTTTTTCTCGCTTATTGATCAAGAGAGCGGCTGTAACGAATGAAACTCTCGCAAAAAAGGAAACTATGAAAATGAATGTGTGTATTGACCTGGCGTGTCGTCTTTGTATAGGGGTGATTTAACACCGAGTGACCGCTGATTGAAACGCAAAACTAAAACTCTCCTGGTTGATGTTTATCCGAAAATAGAATCCCTCTTTCCGGACGAGAAAAGAGTACTCCAGAGTCCAAACAGCCGGCATCTCTTCGGCCCACTCGGCGTCACTTGCCGTATTGGATATTAAAGCCAAGTAGCCATTTTCGAGCATCATCCTGCGGCCTCCTCGGGGGAGTTCCCCTCGTTCCGGGTGGCTCTTCTTGAAATTCCCCCGTTTCTGGGGTCGGCCGCGACACAATAAGTTTAATTCGACGGAAATTCGGATGGCTTTCTCGGGATAACATTAATTAACTTAGTGTCGTACTTAATAAATCACCTTAAACGCCGCTAAGTTAAAATTAATGGGGGCGGAGTTTATTTTTAATTAGTTTGGAAAAAGTGTAATAATTCCATCGGGGTAATTGAGTCTGGGTTAATTTGCGAATGCAGGTGCCGCAAAGTTTCAGCAGGTTTGGGGAAAAATTGTTTAATTTAAAAAAAAGAAGTTTGCTGCCGGAAATTGAGTTGGATCCGAAGTTCTAGTTAAATTGATTTATTTATTTTATTTTGACCAGCCGTCTGGACGGTGAATAGCTGAGATGTGAGGCAGACGGAACTTTATATACGGGACGGTGCATGCCACGCCCATTTCTCCCACTTTAAATAAGACTACAAAGAAGTGGGGAGAGCAGTGTTAACGTTCAACATCTCTACTTGAACCCATTTTATATGATATTGACGATATTTGGGACATTATAAATTGAAATCTGCACAGAAACAGATTTTTGTTCTTTTTTTCCTTTCTTTTTTTTTTTTTTGTTTTTGTTTTGAGTCACTAATTGAAGTGTTCTTGTCGTTCTGATTTTAAGCATTGACATGTTTCCGTTGTTTTCAGTGTCCACAATATTTAAAAAAATCCGAAATAGGTAAGTTTAACAGTACTCGTTAAAACTTAATACACTGATGGCTTAAAGAAGATTATTTTTGTTATTGCTGCTTTCCAAGCCAAGTAGGTCTGCCGTTTCCGTCTGTCTGTCGTCTTTTGGCAGTGTTATGAGAGATAATGTCAGTGTTTTATATAAAAAAAAAGAATGTCGTCCGTTTGGAAACCGTTTCTGATTTTCTTTGTCGAAAAAGAATGTAATTGTCGGAGTGGCATTTCGCGCCCTGATTAAATTACCCTTGCGAAACGCCTCCCGAGTCCTCGAGAACCCGTACGACACAAAGAGATCGTTAACGGCAATTTAATTTAGTTGCGCACTAGTTGCCCAACAAAGCGAAAATAACAATTTCGTCAACGCAGGATTTTCGTCGAATTTTCTGTTATCGACACCCTTCATTAGTCGCCACCATGTCGGAATAATCCCCGATCTCATAATTGCGTTACGTTCGTATTCAAATGAAGTTCGGAACGAATTTCACCGCAAAAAAGCTTTCGGGTTAAGTATTGATTTGGAGTAATTAAGAAAGGCTTTTACTGACAAAATAAAATTAAAATAAAATTAGCTTCAGAAGCGGGCTTTGTTCGGCATAAAGGAGAGATTTCGGGGATTTCGGAGCCGGCGTAACATTTGGCCTTTAAAATCCAAATCGGGCCTCGATTGGGACATTTGCAATGCAAACGGAGCTGCAGAGAGCTCGGTCGACAGTCAACTATGACATTTTGCATCATGGCTCGTGTATTTTTTAAAACTTTAGAAAAAATGTTTTGATATTGCGTCGGGAACGACCTTTCCGAGCGGCAGTCGTGGTTAAAATTTTACGCGAAATTGGTTTTGGTGTGTTGGTTTTTGCTTTTATGAAACGCTGGCCGAACCCTACGGTGTAATGTAGTTTTTGTTCACTGAATTGTTTGAATTTTCCTGTAAAAACCGGTCGAAATAAGTAGATTAAGAAATAGCAAAAAATAGTAGTGGTGTTGTCCAGGGCTCCGATATCTCCTTCATTGTTTCTGATTTTCTTCGATGATCTACTTCACACTCATGATTTACGTTTATTATAACGCTCTATTTGAATTTATTCCCCGCAAATAATATTGTTAATTTTTTGCTTATTCGGCTACACGTATTATTATTAATCCGGCTTTAGCAGTGTGCTATCTACACAGCCTGGACTAATTAAATTTATTATTTAATTTTGTTCGAAATTCTGCCTACGCCACGTTCAGCCGCCCTCTTTTTCTCCTGGCGGCTGTGTTCGCGCGTAATTTATGCCCTATTTGATAATGGTTTCTTCGGAGCTCATCAGGCTAAAACAATTTGTTACTAATTTAATTAATTCAAATGATGAAAGCAAGAACGAGAAAATCGTTTATCATTCTCGGCTAAATTGCTGCTAGTTGTAGGTGAGTTTTTGCTGGAAACAACTTCATTCAGTAGTTTGGAATTTGTCGGTGGCGAATTTTTTTATTTGTGTTTCGTGTTTAGGTTTTCAGAAATTTAATATGTACTATGAATACAAAAAAAATTAGAATTTGTGTAACATTGTTAAAACGTCAAATTCTGATCCTAAAAAACTAGCACTCGTCCACAACCTACACCCTAATAAAAGCAAGCAGGTTCGAAAAAATCAATAAATCACAGCACGCAGCAAACATTCGCAAAGGAGCGATCCAAGTTTACAAACAAAACCCGTTGTGAGTTCTGTGTCTCGTTTCCTGAAAAAACCCAATAAAACAGGATAAAACCCAGAAAGCTTATTCACGAATCTATAATTAAACATAATAATACGTTTTTTAGAAGTAGCGTTTTATGTAAATAGTGTTTAATCTATTTTAATATCTCGTTACACTTGGAACGAGTAAACTAGATAATGAAAACATAAAGTGCCTACCTACCAATTACACAAAATCAGGCACCGTAGATGGAGTGGAAGTTTAGCGATAAAATATGGCCGTTATCTATCGGTAAAATTAGCAAATTTACGAAAAACCGTGAAGGGTTCTTGCGTTTCGTCCTTCCACCACTATCTCACACTTTCCTTGTTGGTTTTATCCTCAGAATTCATTTGCTTAAACTGTTTATATGACGTTGACAAATGGTGCGCTTTCGTGTTATCAACTTGCCACAAATCACAATCCACTCTGTTAATTTTTCGAGTAACTTGTGTTATTAGTTTATTATTTTCATTGCTAACTCAAATTGGCAGCTTTTAATTATCGGTGCACTTTAAACGATGAAAAACGCCCGAAGGTTTGAAAATTTCCGCCTTCAATTACAAACCTCATCCAGCCTTTCTTTTCCTTTTTGCGCACATAATTACCTCCTTGTAAAAACGGCGTTCATGGCGAAACGGCAAGCATGAGAGCTACTCCTGCAACGATTAAAATCTATGTTGATTATTTCCTGAAAATTTTAAAATTAAATTGCGCTTAATCACGGAACGACTCGTGATATAATTTTATGCACGAACGTACGGGAGCGATTATCGCCTAACAGGAATGAGGAATGTAGCGTTTTTCGTTATTTATTATTTTCTATTTTATAAGTGAGAGAGTTCATGTGATTCGGTTAGTCAGAGGCTAATATAAGCCATCGCCATGCTAATTTCGGACGTTGTCTGTTGGCAGGAGGTATAAAAACAAACCGGGCTATTGTGATGTACGTAATGGTGGTTCCGATTAATTGGGATGACGCAGCCCTGACCTTAAGGCTATTTCTGATGGTGGGGGCTTTTTGGAAAGTCCATAACGACCATGGATGCGATTTTTTGCGCGATACGTAGTTTCGAATGTCATTTGTCAGTCGCGTGAATAATAGCGGTGCGAGGGCGACCCTTGAGCAACCCCAGATGTTATACTTTTGGAATTTGTGTGCGATAGTTTTTAAGTTAATGCAGTTTGCATTCCTTTGGTTAACATTTAATATTCATCCTGACAAACCGTTTTAACCTGTTAGGTCTGGAATTTCGGAATGATAGATGACTTCAGATTCACTGGCAGTGAAATTACACCCACGCAGCACTGAATATCTGTCATTTTCTCCCTCGACCTCCCATAATTATATCGACCCAAGAGTTGGACAGGTGTTGAAGTAAATAAATTACATTGCTCAGTAGGTGCCTGCAATTACCGACAATTGCATTAATGTTAGCAGACGTCCTCCTAAAGACATGACCACTGTATGTCTTGGTATTTACTCGAGCTCTCATAATGTGAAAAAGTACACAGGTGGAGGAAAGAAATAAATCGTTAGCGGAACATCTGCGATCGTTCTAGTGAAAACCCTTTGAAAAGCAATAAATATATCCATTCAGGCACCCACCGTCCTCCCCATTCATCTCTGCCGTTCCAATTAAACTTAAAAAGCGCAGTTTTCCGCATTTCCTCTAGGAAAGAAAACGTTTCCTCTGTTAATCCCCAGAGTAAGCTCCATATTTCTTTCGTAATATAAGCCGACATGTTTAATATTTATTTGCTTTATAAACTCTGCAGCTTTGTATTCTTTGCTCCTCCACGATTTACAACCCTACGGTCTCGTCCGTTTTAAAAAATCGTGCGCGTTGTCTCCGCGTGCTGGGAATTGAACTCACGATTCCAGATTTCGACGTAGCTTAAGCGAAAAATTCGGCGAGTGGTGGACGAAGCGACTTTTAATACTCCAAAATCGTCGCTTTTTTCACCGCAAGCCGACTACCATTTGTTCTATTGTGTATTGTGCTAACATGTTTTCTTTTGTTTCAGTATGTGGAGATATACACGGTCAATTTTATGACCTTATGAAATTATTCGAAGTAGGGGGACCACCCGCTAGTACAAAGTACCTTTTTCTCGGTGATTATGTTGATAGAGGATATTTTAGTATAGAGGTAAGCATTTAACGTTTTCGTTTTGTGTGATTGCGTCGCGCCCCGATTTCAACAGGAGCAATCGAAAAACGGCTTTTATTAGTGGTAAAAAGCGTTATTGCAGCTCAAAACGAACAATCATAATAAAACTGAAATGTTGGCGCTACTGCCAATCAATAACAAACTTTATCGACGTCGTCATTGCAACGATAATAAACAGGGAAATTTTAATTTAAAACATTAAGAGGAAAGTCTCCTGCACGTCGCTTAATCTAGTCCTGACTGAAAAACTGGTTTAAATACAAAAAAACGACTCCCAAGTGCAACGGGAAAGTTCGCAGACGATTTATGTGATGCATTCACAGAGGGTTCAGACCTAACCCCAATTTTAAAACTCCAGGAAAAATTTTCTAAACCGAATTAATTTCTTACCATCCCACGTGTTGTCTGGATACATACATTTCAAAACATATTTGTTAAAAAAGCGTCATTTTTTTGTCAGGCGTTGATAAGCTGAATGAAAAATAAAAATTTTTTGTTCGACAATTGGAAAGCACTGAATGAATTACATTTCTTTTTTTGTTTACGTGGCCGCATGATAAATGATTTTAATACCAATTTGTACGTTTCTCTTTCATTTATATCATAATTACGTACAATAGAAGGTTTAAAATTCGCCATAAATTTATTTCATCGTTCTCCACGTTTCATATCTCCTAGGATATGTAAAAGTAAGTCTTCCAATTCCGCCTGCTTGTCTTTACGTCTCTTTGGGACGGCTAATCTTCCAATCAAAATTCGTCTAATCATGCAACTAAAGATTAAAATTGCAATGTGGTTCAAAATTAAAAATTGGGCCGCAGGAGCGACAAGGGCATAAACCCTGTAGATTTAGCTTGTAACTACCACGACATTGCGTATCATTATTAATCAGGCGGCACCATAATTTTTCTTAGGAAAAAGAGTGTTATTGCATTGCCTGATCAAGCAAATTTGCAATTAAGCGATCCACCTGTTTCAAGCTGAGGTTGTAGAATAATTTATATTTTTCAGGCGCTTTTTTTTTCCGGTCGTTTATGGTCGCCTTTCGCGCGCCACTAATGGCGCTTATTAGTCTAAAATAGTAAAAACTTTTAAGACCGGAGCCCAGCGTTTTTCCGGGAGAATTTAGTACCCGGCTCGAGGCTCCGCCGGGAAACTTGCAGCAGAAATTTAGGGGCTTTTGTGGGGAATGTCTTTGAAACAGGTGCTCCGGTGACGGCGGCATTTTAGCGTTTTAATGAATGTACGAATTTTCTGCTTGCATTATTCCATATTCGAGAATTACTTGGGGCGGGCTTGGGGGAGATAAATAATTCACACGGGAGAAATTCCATCAGTCACGTCGGGAGGACGAGGGGGAGGGGGTTCGGGGCGTCGAGTTAATTATAAAATGCTCATGTAATACGTGGCTCGCAAAAGAATCTTGGCGTCGTGGTGCGCTGTGCTTTTGTGATTTATTGCGGTTTTTTGAGTTCTTAAAGTTTTTGTTTTTGCGAGGTTGCTGATTATTTCGTGTCGGATAACGACATTGTGTGTATGTTTTTTATACATATATATAATGGCATTCATTAATTAAATCCAACTTAATTAAGTGTGCGGAAAATGGTTTATCTGTATTTCTAATTAAGGCTATTAGTTAAATTAATGTTGTACAAAACTAGTTTAGCAGTGGGATAAAATTTTCGTATAGCTCGAGTTCTAAAACAGTGAATTTGAACAGAACGACTTCAGTATTTAGCGACTGGCGATTATAACACAGAATTATGTTGTTGAATAACCTGAAAGATAGAACGTCCACTCTGCATCAATTTTTTTTCGATTCCACTATTTTCCATTAATTCATAATTGTAGGTTTAGTTCAGCAAATGTCACAATATGCCTTCTCATTAAAACAGTTTATCCAACAGCAACAGCTAAATCATAGCCAAAGGGAGTCGCTATTTCTGCTTTGCGAACGTTACATCCTGCCAAACGCAATTTCCTCTTTTCGATGGTATTTTTCAGCAGAAAAAAGCAAACAGTTTTGCTCTTGCACGAACGGCGACCACAACAACCAGTAAATATGATAAAAAATTGTACACTTCAAAATGAAAATTTTAATTGGTCGTTGCGATGAAAATCCATGGCGTTTTTGTTGTTCAAGTCTGACTTCATCGAGTGGGTTTGGGGTTTGGCATGGGTTTATTTAGTTATTATTCGAGCATTTCGCACCATTATGGCATCCTGCGTGTGGGCAGTGTAATTCCTTTCACAATTTATTGATTTATTTATTTACACAGAAATTAATGTCTGTATTGAGCTAAACACGACGATTAATTTAAAAGTTGCTTTGATCTCTGTCATGGTGTTAACTATCTAATGAACTTTATTGGATATTGGTGATGAGTAGGCAGTTGTTGGGTCGTATACCCACACGAGCTATTAAATCGAATACACTTCTTCCAGTATCTAGTTTCCGTATGAATGTTGGAAGTTCTGAAATAGAAATAGAGAAGCGCAGAGCCGCTAGCTGATTTATAGATTGTTCGGGAGAATCGATTTTGGAATCAGGTGTGTTTTAAACGTCGATTGTAATCTCGCTCTGTCCGTATACGTGTACACAACGCGAAACACTGTATACTTTTTTTTACATTTTTTGTTTATTATTGAACGCAAAGAAAATGAAAGTCTATGGAGTGTCAACGTATTATCGATTTTTCTTATCATCAAATTGACTCCACAATTGCCCGCTGAAAAATGGATCCACTCGCTTTATCGACTTCCTACCTAAAAGTTATTCTCTAAATTATGCATCAGAATAAAACTTTCCGCTTCCGATAAAGATTTAATCCAATTAGGTACTGGAATGCTCCAAAATTATTAAACGAGGTGGCTGTTTTATTGAGGAGCGGATTTATATACGCAAAATTTTGCTAAAATAAATAAACTGACCAATAAAAACAAGTTAAAAATTGTATCGTAAGGACTAGAAAAGTCATATTATACAAGAAAAACCAGGCAGATTTCGCATTGCGGAATATAAAGCGCCATCCAGGCTAGAAAATAGCTTCACAATGGCAAAATAATCTGGAGAACTTTGAAACGGGATTCGTCGTTTTGGCATCGCGGCACAATGCAGTAAGCTCATTTCAGCGATAGAGAAACACGAGCGCGCCAAAATGCAGTTTGCAGCTCTTTGTGGAGATTTATCGAACGCAACAGCTCAGCCTTCTAAAATTTCAAAATAGCCGTACACAATGAACTCATTAAAATTTGTCGGAACGGGCGAATTATAGCAGGAAACGTTTCGAGGGCACCTCGTATCGCATAAAATGAAAATTTTATGTCGTCGTTACGTCTAAAGTCGTCCGCTTTATTGGTCTGGTCGAGCACTACGCAATCTAGAAGTAAAAAATGCAATCACGCGGTATTGGATAAAGCGGAATTTTTATACGTATGGAAGTAGACGGCTGTATCGATCCATCGGTAAAAATTCTAGAATGTCGCCACATATATTATTGGAGCAATTTAATGAAAAAATTCTCCCGTAACATGGTCGCCGCATTATTTCAGCGGCGAATTTCGCTTTTGCCTGGTTTACGACTGTTTGGATTCTGGCGTGGAGATGGAGGATGAGATCGTTTGCTGCGGATCTGTACTTTATGAAAATGGAAATGTTGCTCCGAAATCGCCGCTGGCTGTGCGGAGTTCAAGCGTTTGTTCTGATACGTACAAACGTAAAAGGCTCTTTATCAAATTGGAATCAAGCGGAACGAGATTTCGGGATCGGACTCGCCGGATTTTAAAGTCAAGTTGCAGTTTTTTGAGAGATGGCACGCGGGATCGAATGATCGGACAATTCAAATAGACGTCACGGTTTGCGTTCTTGTTTGACGCACTGCAAAGATAAAGCGGTTTTACGAATCGAACGTGTGTAAATGGCGTTTAAAAAAAATCTTGCGGTGTGGGAATTGGCGACTGTCGGCATGTTGTTGTTTATTGTTATTTGTTGTGTTTATGGTGATTAAAGAGCTAAAATAACAATCATAGTCGGGGTATCTCCAATATACATATATGTAAAAGAAAACAGCAGAAACCTCATAAAATAAAAGTCTCCCAAGATTATTTCAACTTCTTCAAAAAACAAGTACACCAAGGACCCCCAAGATTCTTTCAACGTCTTCAAAAAATAATAATGAAAATCGGATATTCGATATAAACTTTTTTGTTCATTTAACCACTCCCGAAGGTGAAGAAAGCCGGAAGAGTAACTCGACTGTGAACTCGATGCAACAGGGTGCCGATACAATGCAGCCGCCGCCATGGCGGTGGCGGCGGCGGCATGAAACCATCATCTGCAGCATTCGGCGCGCATTACGTTGCGTGAAAACGCCAACATTCGAATTAAAATCAATAGACCCGCTTATCGGACAAGTCCGGATTTCTTACTTTGTTAGTCTGACAGCAGAAAGCCATTTCGAAGAGGGTCAACAGTACCGAAGAAAATTACGAGCTTATCGGCACAACTAAAACACCGTTAAGTGGCGGAGTGCCGAAAAGCCGAAAAAAGGAAAACCGAACGCCGAGCCCTGAATTTAATCGGAGTCGCAATAAAAAACTTCCACAAATATTTATTATTTCGAAAGGTGATGCGAATGGTGGATGCGCCGGGTCACCGCAGCATAATCACAGCCTTTGCTCTATTATTTAACGCGTCCTCCACCCTTTCCCAGTTTTACAAAATTCCCTTTCTCCTTTACGCATCCGTTGTATTATTCAACGTTATTTATAAAACTTTGGCCATGCGAATGGACAAATTCGTAACAGATTCGGGAACGTCGATACCGCAAGGTCGTTTCTGTTTTTAAAGGGTGTGCGGATCGCTCGATATCCGAAGGACTTGAACTATTTATTTTTATAGCTGGTCGAGCTGAAAAAGGGGATAAGGGGATTCGGTATACGGCAAATGCATGCTTCGGCGATCTTATTTCGATCCCACTATTTATAAATACAGTGTGTTATTTCGGGGCGATTTTCAACGAGGAGAGGAGGTAAGAACTGGTGGACGAGCCGTCGAAGGGGTTAAACGAGGTTATTCGGCGTATTTTCAAACGACAGAGAAATATAGAAGAAAGTCCACTTTTGAACAATAATAGGTCATACTGGGATTAATTACTCTTGAAATGACGTCATCGATTTTTGCAGGAAATGAACACTATACCACTATCGTGTTACTCGACAAAATTTCTCATCTTGAGAAGATAAATAAAATTCTAAATCGATACAAAACTGGTGATCGATGGCTCCTGGACTCTGTGTACAACTAGTACCGAACATTGTATTGATGCTTTTGTGTTATATTTCTGTGCTTAAAAATCTCTAATTTCGTAATTAATTTTGTTGGCAGTGCGTGTTGTACCTGTGGGCCCTGAAGTTGTGCTATCCAACAACCCTTTTCCTTCTTCGTGGTAACCATGAGTGTCGCCACCTTACAGAATATTTCACTTTTAAACAAGAATGTAAGTAATTTTTTCTAAACAAGCTTTTTATTGTGTGCATTATATCTTTCTGTGTCGAAATCGATTTTTGTTGTTCTGTCTTGATTTTTGTGCATGGTTTTGTCGAACTGTGTGTTTCGTCGAAGTGTTCGCGTGCGCTTGGGTGATTGCTTTGCGTCCAGTGGCGTAGCAATTAAAGGGCCCGCAGGGGGACCTAATTACGGCACACACGCTCGAGACTACGTTTGCTTGTACTGTAATTGTTTGTGTTGTTTGGATTTATTATTTAAATTCGGCCGGGTTTTATAGCTGCATGTTTACCATTTATTATTTTATAGTGTATTGATTTTTATTGGCCTGGGTCTGTGGTGGGAATTGATTGCCTCGCGCCGCTACTGTTTAAACGTCTAACGTTCAGTTAATTACGCAAGTTTTTGTGACTTAAAATATATACTTTTTTTGAATGAAATCAAAAGTAGGCGGCTCGTACATCATCAGTGTCGCAGAAATTTCAAAACAAAGTCATATTTTTAAATAGCTTAAGGTTGGTTTGTTTTTATAAACTGACGTTTTATTAATTTAACGCCTGAATTATGACGTACAGTGGAAATATCCAATCAGTGCTTGTAGATACACGTGTCATTATATTTATAGTGCGAATACAATCGATATGGGAACTGTTCATTGCATGTTTGTAAATTTATGATGCCTATAACGATTAAGGAGTAGTGCAAGGACCTGTAAAATTTCGACATCGATCAACTTCATGATCATTTTCGTACCACGTATGCTGCCACCCACATTTCCACATCGCGATGTTTATCAACTATCTAATCCAAAAGCAAACATGAATTTGTCCGAAAACCTTCACATTTCCCAACAAATCACATCCGTTGGCCCGATTTTCCTACTGATTCAGCTCTTTGTCCCTAATAGCTTCTATCTATTTCTCGTGTAAAAAGAAAACGAACATTATTGTATTGATACACTGGGCTATAGCGAATCGATCGACTACAACTCGGAAACTACACACTGCAGCAGAAAATAAAAATTGGTCTAAAGAGTTTAGACAGTACTTCCCTCGCTGTCGGAAACTTGACGACTGCATGCCTATTGTGCTTTTTCTCATTACATTTTTGTAGTGGGAATTTAAAAAAAAAATGCGATGACGTCATCAACATTTTTGCAAGGACACGTATATCAGTTTGGGATAGATGTAGTGTAATACTAAGAATAAAATTATTATATTCTCAAATTTTCAGGAAAATGAATTGGGTCGTTTTGAATATTGATTTGTAATAATCAATAAAATAACGAAACAATTTACTCACGTATACGTATCCCAGGCAGCTGAAAATCGTGTATGTATAAACATTCTTAATTTAAGATGACAGGCGTAACAGCATACTTGAGAGTCAAACAGAGAAACTGTAAACAAAACGACCATCGGTTTTATTGCTTCGACTTCCGCTTATTATATAAAACATTGGGTTTTATTTTAATTCTTGACGGTGAAATTCACAATTGGTTGATTATAAACATGTCTATTTCACATTCGCGGAACCAAGTGAACGCATAAAACAAATGCAGGTCTGTAATGTTAAAGTCAATGTAAATAAGCATGCTACCCTTATGTTTCAACCGAGTTTTTCCTTTAACAAATTTTTTGTCTACCAAATTGGGTTGGTTGGGGTGTAATACTAATAATAAGTGTTGCCTTTAATTTAATCAATAAAATAAATTGACTTCATTAATTTTTTTGAACCACCTCTTAAGAAAATCTAAAAAATATGAATGGAATGATAAATCACAAGTACAAACTCATCATATTTTTTGCATTTTAGATAGGATTTATTCAGCAAAATTTAAGGGTGACGTCATCAATTTTTTTAGGAGGGATGAACAAATACATTTTGAACAAAAGTTTACCATGCTTATAATAACTTTAGAATATTCCCAAGATTTCAAAGCATTCGGTTTTGTAATTCCTGATTAAATCGATAAAATAAATTCACGCCTTCATTAATTTTTTTGAGTCACCCTGTTTATGCAAATCGAAAAAATTTGAATGGAATGACAAATTACAAGAAGAGACTCACCATATTTTGTACATTTTAGATAGGATTTATTCAGCAAAATTTTGTGGTGACGTCATAAATTTTTTAGGGGGGACGACCAAATACGTTTTGATCAAAAATTTACCATGCTTATGATAATTTTAAAATATCTTCAAGATTTCGAAGCATTCGGTTTTGTAGTTCCTGAGTAAATCAGTAAAATAAATTTACGCTTTCATTTATTTTCTTGAATCACCCCGTATATGCAAATCCAAAATATCTGCACTTACCAGGCAACAATTATTGTAACTTGGTCCAATTTTTAAAATTTGGAGATATATATCCTCAATGACATTCACTCTTCAACAGTTTTTTTCGAATTGGCTTCGCATTTCGCAATCGCAACTGTTTCGTCTCGCCACCCAAACAAGTGATTCCTCCCGCGCCGCTCGTCGTTTCCAACTTCCGCTTTTTGCTATGGCTGGGAGTTTGTTTATATAAACTATGTCTCAACGTGCGATAAAGAAATGACACGGTCAGTGGCGTAACTGAAGCAAATGCGTATGTACTTTTTCTCTGCTTCTCTCGATGTATAAACATTAACAGTCGAAGTTAATCATGTATTGACAATATATAAAATGATTAAGAGATATTCTTCCGATCACAAAAAAAAATTTCAACATTTGCTATTTATGGTGCTTATTCACGAACACACAATAACAAATAAATAAATATTATAACATTATTGTTGCGAAAATCGGAAGTGCTGTTCTTGATTTGATGGGCGAAAAAAGTTGGAAGTGCCGGGATCTGTTACCGGAACTTCTAATTGCACTGCACACTCCACCTCCACTAAACCACAGGCCACAGTTGCTTATGTTAAAACTCATCATATTTTGCACATTTTGAGTTAAACTTTTTTGGCAAAAATTGTAGATGACGTCATGAATTTTTTCGGGGGAATAAACAGATATATTTTCATTAACAATCTACCATGCTCACAATCAATTTTAACCATCTGCAAGATTTCAAAATATTCAGTTTAGCAATTCTTGATTTATTCACTAAAATAAAGTGACTGATTCATTTCTTTTTTTGAGTCACCCTGTATAAGCAAATTAAAAAATTTGAATGCAATGATTAGTTACAAGTGTAGTCAGATCATATACTTTATTCAGTAAAATTGTGAGAAGACGTAATGAATTTTTTTTGGGGTTGATAAAGAGATACATTTTGATTAAACAGTTACCACGCTTACAATAACTTCAAAACGTCAAGATTTCTAAGTATTCAGTTTTGCAAAATCAATTCACTCCGTCATTAATTTTTTTCAGACACCCTGTATAAGCAAATATTAAAAATTTTAATGCAATGATAAATCACAAGTATGGACTCATCATACTTTACACATTGAAGATGGCATTTTTTCAGCAAAATTTTGGGGTGACGTCATAAATTTTTTAGGGGGGACGACCAAATACATTTTGATCAAACATTTACCATGCTTATGATAATTTTAAAATAACTTCAAGATTTCGAAGCATTCGGTTTTGTAGTTCCTGAGTAAATCAGTAAAATAAATTTACGCTTTCATTTATTTTCTTGAATCACCCTGTATATGCAAATCCAAAAAATATGAATGGAGTGATAGATCACAAGTACAGACTGATCATATTTTGTGCATTTTAGATATGATTTATTCGGCAAATTTTCGAGCTGACGTCATCAAGTTTTTGGAGGGGATAAGCAAATATATTTTGACTAAACATTTATTATGCTCTTTATAACCTTAAAACATCTGCAAGATGTCAGAGCATTCCGTTTTGTAGTTCCTGATTAAATCAATAAAATATATTTGCGCATTCATTATTTTTTTTGAGTCACTCTGTATATGCAAATCCAAAAAATATGAATGGAGTGATAAATGACAAGTACAGGCTCATCATATTTTGTACATTTTAGATATGATTTATTCGGCAAACTTTCGAGCTGACGTCATCAAGTTTTTGGAGGGGATAAGCAAATATATTTTGACTAAACATTTATTATGCTCTTTATGACCTTAAAACATCTGCAAGATTTCAGAGCATTCGGTTTTGTAGTTCCTGATTAAATCAATAAAATATATTTACGCATTCATTAATTTTTTTGAGTCACCCTGTATATGCAAATCCAAAAAATATGAATGGAGTGATAGATCACAAGTACAGACTCATCATATTTTGTACATTTTAGATATGATTTATTCCACAAACTTTTGAGCTGACGTCATCAAGTTTTTGGAGGGGATAAGCAAATATTTTTTGACTAAAGATTTATGATGCTCTTTATAGCCTTAAAACATCTGCAACATTTCAAAGCATTCTGGTTAGCAAATTAAAAATTAAATTTCAAAATGTTGTTTTATAATTTTGATTTTTTTTCCAAAAATCTGGACGTTTCGGGTGAAAAGTCGATTCAGAGTTGTAAACTACATGTGTAGGACTATGTTATTTTATACAATTGAAAACCCATTTACTATGTACAATTTTGAAGTGACGTCATCGCTTTAGTGGTGGGGATGATTCGACAAATTTTGGTTAGCGTTTTACCATCTACATGATATTCTTAATATAAGTACAAAATTTCACAACAATCGGTCGAGTACTTTCGGAGATTATCTGTCTAATAAAAATCCGGGACAACAGACGGACAGACGGACGGACAGACGGACAGACAGACAGACAGACGGAAATGGGAGACCTATTTCTTCGTCTTCTAGGGGTCATGAAAGATCGAGAAAACGTAAAAGTAGAGAGTCGGCCGACGGACTCGATTACAATACTTCCTTTGCTTACGCTCGGGAAGTAAAAAGACGAAAAAAGCAACAGCGTTAAAATCTGTTTTAAGAATCTAGATTAAGTCTGTGCGCCAATTTTGGCACTTTAAGAAAGTCCATTCTAGAGGTCCGAGAGGCGCTGTCCC